TTGAAAATAATGTGATTTTGAAAAAGCCTTCCTTGGGTAGCTTTCTCTGCACAGCTTAACATTTCTGCCCATTCTAAACACATCCCAACCAGGACACATCCCAACCAAATCATGCCAGGACACCTCCTTTTTCTAACCTGAACCCATTGGTGGTGTACTGCAACCCAAAACCCACTTATTGCAAGTGCCAACACTGCAATAAAACCTGAAAAAAAATCTCACAGCCAGTCCAAGCAAATAAATATATCCTTGGCAGTGCACTGACCGGCCATGTGAAAGCTCGGATGAGTCAAGGCTAATTTATTTATTTATTTATTTAAAACATTTCTATGCCGCCCCCATCGCAACAAAGCCTCGGGGCAGCTCACAACATAATTAAACATATATAAATAATACTAAATACAATAAAGATTAAAAAACACGGTAACATCTCGGCTACAAATTTAAAATCCTATAAATATATAATAAATTAACAATTAAAATAAGTTTTAGATAAAAAGGTCTTAGCCTGGCGCCGAAAAACAAATGACGGCGGCACCAGGCAGACCTCTCTGTGGAGCGCATTCCATAGGTGGAATGCTAATGAGTTGCGGCTTGTGACAGCATCGCCTGGCAGCACTACTCCTTTCCGAGCATGCGCATGGCCCCATGTGCACTGTTATCCAATGCTCGGCTGCTGGGGAGATGCTGGGGAGACTTGGCTCATGTGCCAACAGAGAGGGATCTGCGTGCCCCCTGTGGCACGTGTGTCATTGGTTCGCCACCACTGCTCTAGTGAATATGATTTTATCTGAGCAGTATTAGGTCTTAGTTGAGCCTATTGTTCTTGCTACCTACCTGAAATTGCAAAAGCAAGAGGATCACTGAAGATCTAACAGGCCACAAGTATGGCTGCTGGACTTCATGTGGTTACATGTTCATAGGGTGTGCCTATATTAAACGCATGTATAATATATTTGAGCATTTGAATATAGTCTACTCAAATATTGATAAAATAAACTTAAAAAGGATTGAATGTTGGATATATTTGGCTACAGGTAGCAAGTGATAGCTAGAATATAACCAGTAGACCTAGAAAAATGCTATAACATCTTTCCCAGTTTGGGAACTGGATCTTCATGTTCTGAAGTCTATTTCCCAACTTTGAGAGGTTGGTACTAGGGGCCATCATATTAGGCCCCATCATATTAGGCATGAATTTCAGAAACAGGTGTTCTCTTATCTAGAATCTGAATTTATATTCCAAACAATTCTCTGCTTAGTACAGAACTTTTTAGACTAGTGAGATCCTGGAAATATATGCCCTAAGAAATCTGTTAATCTCTAAATTGCTCTCCAAAACTATTTTTATCGCTTTACTGTAAAAGACTAACATAGCTATCCCTCTGTAAGTTAGGAAAACATGTTTAACTGTGAACCCTGCAGGCCTGATAGGGCTTGGTTTGACTAATGTAATACATTTTATATGGGGATGGTTTTGAAACTTGGCAGCTTCAACTAGTTCAGAATGTGGTTGTCCGTCAGTTATAGCCCAAAGCCTAAAGGTTTTGTTTTTTAATTAAAGGAATGGATTCTCCCATAAAAGCCTCCCTCCCCTTTCCCTGAACATTTAAGATTTTTTAATGACTCCCTGCTCTAAGGCCTATCTTGTAAGGTTAAGTTAGCTTGCTCAAGTGATTAAAGCATTGCAGAACTTTTTACTAAGACAGATCTAAACAGTGTCCTCCATGCTAATTTTCCCCAAAGATGCTAAAACTGTTTTGTCTGGGTTATCTGCTGAAAATTACTTTTCTCCTGGCTTTATATAGATTTTATTTTATGGGGTTTTTTGCCAATTCCTTTTTATTCTACTTTGGTTTAATTTTTATTATTTCATGAAGATTTTATTGTAATTTGTTTTAGTTCATGAACCACTTCTGAAGTTGATAGGAAGAAGCAGTGTATCAATATTCTAAATAATGATTGTAAACAGCTGCACAAGGGGATTATCCTGAACAAGTGCAGGGGGTAGAGTAATAAACAAAATAGAAAAAAGAACCAACTGGCAACAATTGGACACAACGGTATCTGAAAAAGCTGCTTCCTTTAGATTCCTTAAAGAAAGAGACTGCCTGAGGTGGCCTATAGAACAAAGGGATAAGGAAGATGAAAAACTGTGATGCAAAGCAAGAAAATAAGTGCCAAGACCTCCAGGTGTATATCTGAATAGCTGCACACTGTGTGGCAAGACCCTTTTAGCATGCTACAGAAGCTGGTGATGAACTACACATTACCAAGTGGTAAACTGGCTCCTAGCTGTATTGTCTGTTACAAGTAATGCTAACCAGTAGTCCCTTGGGAGCAGAATGCAATCATTTCATCTCTATAAGCATCTGAGCTCCCCTTGGATAAGGAGACCATTAAACTGAGAACAGAAGGATAAATTTTAGCCAAAGATTTCTAATTGGATAGTAAAGTTCATTCATACTCAGTGAAACTGAAAACCCCTGATATTTTACCCCTGTATATATTGATCATTGCTTAGGATTAATGGAATCAATAAAACACTTTTTATTCTAACATGAATGTCCAGGAAGCACTGTGCACTTGTGCTTATATTTTAAAAGAAATATTCTTGATTTTGAAAGTTGCTCCAACAGAGATATTACACACAAAAGTTATTTTAGTATTTCACGTAAATATACATAATACACATTTACAAGCCATAAGCAGAATAATTCTAAGGTATTGAAAATAATTTTCTCAGAACATCAAGCATATGTACTTTGGTTTCCACACTCATAATGTGGAGAACTGTGCTCGTGTTTAGATCAATGACTTGATACAGCTGAAATAAAAAGACCACATAGATGTTTTTTTTTTGCTCTATCAGTTTAGGCAGGTTGCATATCCTCAAGTGGTCATCCATGCATTCACACATATGACCTCTGCACCTGTATAGACCCTGCTATCAGGAAGATTCTACAGCTGAGTGAGTTTTAGCAGGAACCCCTTCCCCACACTCAGTGACAGGGTATAGGAGGGGTTCCCACCCATTCCCTCAGGTCACTCAAGACCAACACTGTGGCCTTAGAACTAAGGAAGGTATTAGTAGACTGTCCTCCACATTGGCTGAAACTGATGTTTACTTAACAGATAAGAATGAACGTATATGACATGCAAAGAGAGGACAATGGATAGGTTGTGTGAATGCACAGATAACCACTTGAAAAACAACAGTTACAGGTAATGCATTCTATGTGGTGATGTTTTTGAAACTTGGAAGCTTCAGCTAGTGGGGGCCCATCAGCTGATAAGGGTAGCCCAGTGCTCTTGTGTTTTAATTAAAGGAATGTTTCTTCCCATAGTCCCACAGTGTTGCTGCCTTGATCAAAATCAACACTTTGGAATCTGGAGGGTATGCTTCATTGAAATGGAGTCAAGGCAGGCTCCAGTGAAGAGGGCTGACTGGGAGAGAAGATTTTTCTAAACTTAAACAAAGCCCAACTTAGTCAGTAAAGTGCATGTAGGTTTGATGAAGAACAGGTAGGGATGGATGTGGATTCCTTGCAGGCTTAAGTGGGCACAGAGTACAGCCATGCACTTTGTGAAGAGTCTTGGAGTTGTGGCTAATCCATATTATAGAATGGAAAACCAAAAAGCTTCTCTTCCAAACTGGAAATGCAAGAAACACCTGTATGAGTTCTTTATGGAAATCACTGGAGGCAAACCAATCTCCTTTGTGCAGAAATGGTAGAATATTCTTCAGTGTCCCCACATGGAACTTCTTTGGTGTAATGAAGGAGTAGATGTTCCTGAGGATCAGTTAGAGCCCTTCATCATGCTTCAGTACCATAAAGTATCTAGAGTACAAACTTTCTTGAGATAGAAAGCAGGGACTCTCTCTATAGAGTCCTTTGAAAGCAGAGAGTCTATCTTTGTAATTAAAGCTGTACTGTATTCCTTATGATACCAAGAGGTAGGAAGGCACTGAATTTGATCCTGTATTCCCATTACACAATAGATAGGGCTCAGGCATCCAATGCTATTGCTTCTTATGAAGGAGGGCAGGAAAAAAGAGAAGTGTTGGTCAAAGCCCCTAGTAGAGGGGGCAGCCCAAGAAAACAGTCATAAATGGCTTCTGTCAGTATCAGAATGCCTGTGCCCCTGGTGGGGTGGCATCCCTGTGCCTGAGATGGAATATAGGCTGATTTAGTCGCAGATGTTGGAAAAGGAAAGTCACATCTCTGTTCTGCACCGTGTATATCTCCTGAGTCTTTTGGACATCGGAACCATTGTGGAGGACATTCTCCATGTAAGGAAAATTATGAATGGCAAGGATAGACCTTCTCAAGGCATCATAATGCTGGTACAGAAAGAACTCAGGGAATGGACAGAAACACCTCCCATATACGGATACTGAGGGTAGGGGAGAGGTTCCCACCAAAACTTTCTCAGCTGTAGAATCTTCCCAACAACAGACTTCACACCAGCACAGAGCCCATATGTGTGATGCACAAAGACCACAAAGAACTGTGTATACTTGCTGCTCGTTAATTTAATATGCCTTAATACATCTCAAGAACCTCTATTAAACTTATTAGGAAGCAAAAGGCTCCACATATCTTAGCAGGAAGTTGTTATATGGCTATCAGAATAAAATATCTTAGGTTATATGTATAAGTTATCTTAGGTTATCTGTTATCTGCTTGGATGAACCCGCAGGTTTGAAGAAATACAAAAAAGTGCAATAAAAAATACGCTAATGGAGGGAGAATCTCCAAAGCAGCCTGATGTAGATTGAACATGCACAACAGGCATGGAATGCTGACCAATTCTTGTGTGATGGAGAGGTAGAAATCCAGTTGGAAAAGGAGGGGACAACATACTGAAAGAGAACATGATTGAAGCTCTGAATTGGAGCACTTCAACTACATGTTTTGCAACTCTCACTTGTATTTCTATAGTCATGTAAGGCAACAGTCAGAAAAGATGATAAAATATTCATAAATTAAACTTACAGATATTGCTGTCTTTTCTTGCCCAGCTGAATGATATGCTAAGCCTAAACAGTAAGCAGCTTCACCTTCCATCTTCTGATTTTTTGCTAAAGAAGAAAGGCTACAATGTTTATTGAGCTTGATACTAAATTGAATTGTACCTAACTTTACATGGCGTTTTTAAAACCACCTTTTAAATGGGCAGATTCAGACACCATGCTAACCCACCCTTTGAAAAATCAATGATGTGTTGCTTGTTTATAGAACAACCCATGGTATCCCCAACAAATGGTCAGGCTTACTGTGGGATTTCTTCCCCTCTCCTCCAACTGGTATCCCAGGGGACTTAGTGGGTAAAACCAGCTTGTGCCCTTTCTCTTTTGCAATTCTGAGTTATTTTCTGCTTGCCACGGCTTTTCCCCCATATACTGTTTTTCCTGGAGATCACTTTTTACAATGTGTGAGATGATAGCCAGTAACAGCCCTTCTGAAATACACAAGTGGTGCACTGAAGGTTTACCCTTTTAAAATTTGTATTTAAGCATAATTTATTTATAGTTTAGTTGGACTTGCACAAGTGAAGAGGTGAGCACTTGCACAAGTTCCAAATGTGAATTCCCACCTGAGCAATATCCTGAGAGTTGTCTGCTGTTGAGTGCAGCAGAATCCAACCATGAACAATGACCCAAACTAGAGAGAAGTAATTAGTGCTTTCTTTACAGCTGTCAAATGTGAGCTGTCAAAGGAAAGCAAAGCTATTAGTGATCTTTGCTTATAAAGAGGGGTGGTGAGTAGATCACCTTCATTGTGAAAGGCTCTATTTTTTAATTGGACCATACTCTTCTCTGTGTTATCACACTTGTCCACCTTTTCTCAAGAATCTATATAATCCAGAAGGTAGAAAAGTGTGAGGCACCTCATTTATAGGAGAGAATTTTGACAGCTAGCTAATCAGGAGTTTTGACAGGAATATATATACATAAGCATATGCATATGCCCCTGTCAAATGTCAAGTACTGAGAATCACTTCTCCATGCTGTTCTTACAGAATTATTTCCACAGAAAAAAACTGTGTATGCAGCATTCCAACCAATGATTGCAAAAATTCATGTTCACAAAGGTCATAATTTCAAGTTTGAAATAAAAAGGCTAAATAGTTATTTTTTCCCTAAAATCTGGTGGCTATGAGCACAGAGAAAGTACATAGCCTGAGTGCGAAGACAACAAAGAGACAGAAAACAAATTTATGTACCAAGCATTGGCTGGGTGTGAAAACTAGGTCAATACTCTCACTAGTCAGGCGCTTAGTGATTGTAGATATTTTTCTCACAACTGTTTTTCTACAAGCAAAGGCCCACCATGGGGTCCACTGTGCTTCAACCAGTATGTTTTGAGATGCAGTATAACAACTGCCAATTGTCAAGCATTTGTCTCAATTTATTAATCATCTCCATTATTTGGCTGAAAGCCAGAAATGGGTAGAAAAACTACACATCAGATGAGAAGGCCTATGCAAATATCCACATTTTGATGGTTTCTGTATTACATATACACTGTAATGGCATAGGAGAATACTATAACAAAGCAACTTTCATATGGTCCAGTGTATTCATGAAGGCAGCTAATACATTAACTTCAAGAACTAACTTATGTTTTAGGAAGTGTCCTACTAATTTTGGTATTGCGCAAGTCAAAATCTATGTATGTATGCGTATATGAGATTTCCCCTCCCTCAACTTCTTTTTCTTACATATATCAACATTTCTTCATATGTGGAAATCTTTAACTCCATTTAATGCTCAGCAGCAAAAAGCGGAAGTGTTTTCATCTTTCCATGTATTTGAAAAATTTACCAAAGGCATCCTTCATAAAAACCTTTCCAGACAATAAAGCCTTTAAATTAATCATGGTCAAGAAATCTAATAAGGTACCCCCACCCCCAACACTAAGACATTAAGAAATGCTCTTACTTTCATAATTAGCTCACCGTCTTACTGGACAGTCTGTCCAATGAGCAACGTCAGGCAAATAACAGTGAATAATCAGTGAGGAACCACAACAAGAAGTATTGCTAGTGACCTTACTTTGGATTATGGACTCATTGTTTTACAACAGTACTCCCAAAAGACTGCATTTTTGGAGTTAAAAGCTTTCAAGAAATAAATGGATTCCTACTTGTCAGCAAGTAGGTACTTCTGTTTTACAACAAGATTTAGAAATATATTGATAGCATTTGTCTTGAATTTCATAGAAAATAATCACCAAACACTTGACAATGTTTTTTACTTTACTCCTGGGAAAGGCCAGGCTTGCACATTAAAGACAGAAATGCAGGAGTGTTATTTTCAACCCACCTTCTTTTGCCATTTCAAAAGCTTTTATTAGAGTTCTGATGGCCTGTTGGTGTTCTTTATTTCCTAGCATTTTGTCTGCTAGTAATGTGTAAACTCTCCAGAGATGTTCACAGGCTAGAGAGTTGAAAGTCTGGCCTGTATCATCTTTCCATATCCGTCCCACTGTCAATTGATAGAATGCTTCATAATGTTCTACAGCTTTCAGGAACTGACCTGAAAAATACAAGTCAGTCATAATAGGAAGAAAGGTATTTGATAAAACTTTCCTTAAACAAAACTTCACACCTAATACACCCCATAGGATATTAATTATTAAAAGAATCCTATTTGATAATAAAGTTATGAAAACTTGATAAATGTTGAAAGGTTGATTTCAAGAATGAATCTACTGCTGTGGAGATATCAACTACTAACTAGTATTACTTGCTAGAACTAGCATGCGAAATTTACATAAATTAGACATTTTTTCTTCATTTTAGTTCTTGAAGCAAGTTTTTTCAGAAGATTTTATAAAGTTGTAATGCATGTTCCTCTTCATTTGGCCAACTTGAAAATAAGAGGAATCAGATTAATCATGCTGAATCAGACTAAAGGACTACCTAGTTCATCATTCTGTTCATACAATGCCTGTGTGAACCAGCTGCCTGGGATGCCCAGATGTAGAAATGCAGTAACAGAACCTCTGATACTGAAAGTAATCTTCAGTTGTCATGACTAGTAGTCACTGATAGCCTTATCTTCCATGAAACTTTGTCAGTGCTGCAGATAAGAATTGACTATAGGTCATCAAACATTTGTACATTCATTTTTAAATTATTGTTCAAAATGGCTCCAGCCTAGCTACATAGTGGGTTTCTGTGTACATAGCTCTCTAGGATGAAATTATCTAACAGATTTTTGGAATCAAGATTGTTGGTACCACTTTCATGTCCTTTAACATATTCCCTCGGTAGCAGCACAATTGCCAAAATTTTGACCTAGTTGTGCAAATGCATCGCTTGCTCCTGGATAAGGAATTTCAACTTGATGAAATATATATACAGCACACATTTATATGGCAGTTCCACATGTGTCCGGGAATATATATGCATATAGTACTAGCTGAATTGGAACACATAATTCAATGCTCCCTATAGTATAATCATCCATAATTTCAGGTATCAACAAAGAAAGAAACCAGAGATAAAATGCACTTAGATTAAGGACAATAGACTCCTCTCCACACTTGGTTTTAAAAAACAGTCTTTATATTCCATATAAATATACAGCATATGAATATTGATACTTTTCCTTTGCTACATGTCTCTTGAAAGATAATCTTTTTGAGCATAACATTGCCCATGCCTTGTAAAGTTAGCTGTGAAACTTGAAAAATATTTCTATAACTGATATTCTAATCAATATGCTTTCAAATCATTACTAATAAAAGAAAGAACTTTTCAAAGGGTTTAATTTGGACAACTCTGTCAATACTAGAGATGTCCATAGCAATGGATAAAAGAAGATGAAAAACATAAATTTGGTTTTTCATGTCTGCAAATTGTTGGACGTAACTGATATTAAATATTGATATTAAATACTATCAAGTTCAACATCAAGTTCAATATTTAATAATTGATATCAAATACTATAAAGTTCAACAATTATAGTTACAAGGTTAATAATGAATGTATCACACAAAGCCAAACAATCTGGGAACAGACAAACAAGACATTAAGGTCCAATGGCTCTGAATGCATCAAAAGTTACTGACCTGAGTTTAAGTCAAAAAGAAGATTAAGATTAGGTACAGAATTGTTATCCACATGAAAACTTTACTGGAGATCACCAGTGTCCTTGAAGTCATTCCTCTATGAAAAAATCTGACTTCTGGAATGTCTGAGCCATACAAGATAATCCCTCAAAGCAAACATTCTGATTCATGCATGTTCAACTACACAATGAAATTTTGCTGAAAAGACTATCACATCTGGTAAACTAAAGGACCATGAGAAACAAACAGTGACTAAGCGTCAGATAAAGGAATCACATATGTAAAGAATATGCTTCTACACTTCCTTCTAAGAATTAGAAGAATTATATTTCTGTAAGAAATGTAATGCCACAAAGTTCTTTCAATATGTTATGATTTTCTGACTGCCTGTTAGGTACAGATTAGAGATGCTACTATTCCATCCTCTCTCAGTCTGAGATTTTATTTTAGGGGTTTAAAGCAATGGTCTAAAGTAAAAATTAAACTAGCCATTACAGTCTTGATCTGATATAGGCAGAAATGTGAAGAACTACTAGAGAACAAAAGTTCCAGATGTAACTGAAAAAGACTAAGTATTAAAAATGCAAAAGTATGTGGAAACTACAGGGTAAAAAACAGGAGGGAATATCCAAAGCTGCCTGTACACTAAGAAGATTCACTGCTAGTGGAATGAGATACTAAGCAGATCCTGCAGCAATCAGAAATGAACAAAGCACTCATTTATAGAGCAGGTCAGGTCAGTGGAGTTTACCCAAGTGAACTCCACTGACCTGCACCCAATCCAGAAATGTGAACTTCCACCTGTTTCTTGGATTACTTCAGAAATGCAAGTTCCTGATGCACAAATAGTGTGGCTTGCAAGTACAAAAGAAATTACAAGAGCACAGCAGTACTGGATACTGCCCTAGGCAGATGCTAATTAACATCTAGAATTGTAGAAACTAGGGGCTGGCTGAAAAACCACAATTTTCAAGGTTTCTTTGCTATCTCTTAAGATATCAACTTGATTATCTAATTCACATATTACATTTGTTCATCCATCATTTGGAAATAATTGCCAAGTTTACAGAACCTAACAAAGCACACCAACAATCATATACATTTTAAATAGTTAAATACATCACACACTGTTCACTGAAACAGACAGTTGAGAGACAGTCAGAATGAGTTGTGCAAGCAACTAATGCAATATTGGAGCAGATCTAAGGAGAGAAAAGGGGAATGAAAGGAAGAACCACTTGATTTGTATTTCCCTGCCACAACTATCAGATATAGTTCAAATAAACCTTTAACAAACTGGAGGAGGCTGCTTGCAATTTTATGGAAGCCCCCTCCATAAAAAAATAAAGCTAACTCCCCCAAACCCTTCCCTTTGTATTTAGAGCACTTAATGGTGTTGAGAAGGAAAAAAAAGAATGTTAAGAATGTTACACACATCAGGGCATAATCCATTTATGGACTTTTTCCATCCAAAGATGCATGGGATTCCATTCTGAATTTGTTTGCTAACATTTGAAATTTAGATTATTTTAGCTATTGGAATAGGCTAAATGCTTTTTAAAATGCTTTCCTGCAATTGCTGTGCAAATATCTAATGCTACAGAATATACATTTAAATAATAACTAGGATCAAATAAATACTAGAAAAATCTTAAATAGTATTAGTAAACCAACTATTGACCCTAGTTCTAGAGTAACAAATGAAATGGCATCATATCTTCTTAGATGTAAGAAAACCAGCATTTTATAAGTTACACATTCATTTGTATAAGAAAAGAGAAGAGAAGAGAGACTCATATGCTCGTTCAGTGGTGCTTAAGATTTTCCTAAAATATCCTGGGCACACCCCAGTGTAGAGTTAGGCATGCTTAAGCACACTGGTCTCACAGGTCTTAAGTCCTTTATGGATTATCCTGATCCCAAATTTCAACGAAAAATAATAATAATGGAAGGACATTTTTAAATACTTTAAACAAAAACTCCAAAAAGGAGTTTGTTGTATATTTTTTGAAGTCCTCCAAAGCCACCTAAGGTTAGATGTTGAGGCCAAGTTCCAGGGCCCTTCAGCTCATAAGCCCCCAAAACAATCACTTAGAAAACAACAAATCATGAAGACATCCAAAGAAAATTCCATTTTATCCCTATCGTCATGATGGTGCTAGAATGTAAGTTAGTACTAATGCAAAACAGCACACCCTCAGATATTATTCTTAAATCAAGGATGGATAACATTGTTGTTGGTGTAGATGTTGTTTTAAAAAGGTAAAGGTTTCCCCATGACATTAAAGTCCAGTCATGCCTGACTCTTGGGGGCGGTGCTCATCTCCGTTTCCTAGCTAAGGGAGCCAGTGTTTGTCCGCAGACAGTCTCTGTAGTCATGTGGCTTGCATGACTAAACACCGAAGTGCACGGAACGCTGTTACCTGGCCACCAAAGTGGTACCTTTTTATCTACTTGCAGTTGCATGCTTTTGAACTGCAAGGTTGGCAGGAGCTGGGACGGAGCAATGGGAACTCACCCCGTTGTGCAGATTCGAACTGGCGACCTTTCAATCAACCAGTCCAACAGCACAGCAGTTTAAACCACTGCGCCACCTACATCCCTGATGTTGTTCTACAATAACAGAAATATAGAAACATTTGTAAACCATGGAATAAAAGCTGAAGGACAGAAGAAATGTTAAGTTCTGTGCTTTAAAACTGAAGTAATGCACACAATTGTCCAAAGTCCCATCCTTTAAATTTATTATAACTAGGGCCTAAAACTACCTATATTTCTGTCCAAAATTGTACCAATATACCAGAAATTTGAAGCTAGCAATATATTCCCATACATACAGAATCCCTTACAAAAGCTAGAGCTTGCTAATTTTAAAAAACATTTTAAATGTCCCCAGGTTACATAATCAAATAGACAATCAGTATTTTTTAAATGGCTGAAGTGATGTTGTATAGCTACATGCTTATTTCAATAGGGGGTCCCATTCTAAACAATTATATTAATGCACAGACATCACTCATACTTCAAATTAAAGATATATCATTCATTTTTCATACAAATTAAGATATGGTGTAAAAGGTTTGTTATTTTTAAACAAATGTTATATCTTGAATAAGAATCTAGGTACATAGGCATCACCTATACCTAAAACTAAACTGAAAGATATTCTTCCTAGTTTGGGAAAGTGGGGAATATTTTGTAGATCTATGAGATATAAATGGAAATGCATGATCCACATATCTCTCTCTGTTTTCCAAATACTATTCTTTACATCTATTCTCCTATACAGCAACCCCAAAAGTGTATATTTTTATTAAGCAAGAACTATCATAGGCAAATATGAATGAAAAAGGGATATATAAGATCTCTATCATTTTGCACTATTTTTGAGCAGAAAGATTGACTAGATATTAACACAAATGGGTTTAAATGTGAAGCTGCCATAAAAGCAGGCACATAA